ACTTCCCGAAAACAATCAAGCAAAGCCCTGGCTACAGCCACTGAGCTTGTGAATCTCTAGCCTCAGAACTTTCAACCCTAAACCCTAAACCCTAAACCCTAAACCCTAAACCCTAAACCCTAAACCCTAAACCCTAAACCCTAAACCCTAAACCCTAAACCCTAAACCCAAATCTACTCAGCCGCAGGCTTGTGGACAAACATTTCTCCACTCCCAGAGTGGCTTTGAAGGGTTAATTTAGGGTTTAGGGTTTAGGGTTTAGGGTTTAGGGTTTAGGGTTTAGGGGTTGTCTTGCACCCTGAGACGCGCTGGTACCGAAACCTGAAAGCCGGCCTGCTTAGACTCTAATACATCGATAACAAAACCTTAAGCAAGCTGGCATGACGTATAGAATTGACATGCGACACCGATCCGTAAACCCTAAACCCTAAACCCTAAACCCTAAACCCTAAACCCTAAACCCTAAACCCTAAACCCTAAACCCTAAACCCTAAACCCCTAAGCCCTAAACCCTCAACCCTAAACCCTAAACCCTAAGCCCTGCCAGCCTGCGGGACTTCCTGGAACTTCGGGCACGGCGGCCTTCAAACGGGTGCCGAGGCGAAAGTCGGAAGCCCTCTAAGCCCTGCCTGTGCGCCAGTGTAGGCTTTGAGAGTTTTGGGGCAGCAGGAACCAACAGGCCTAAACCCTAAACCCTAAACCCCAAACCCCAAACCCTAAACCCTAAACCCCTAAACCATCAATAAACCCTATAACCCTATAGCCCGTCTGGACAGAGCTTCTGTCAGGCCTCTGGGATTTAGACCTACAGGGCTGAGGGACATCGAACCTACGCGTGGTGGGCTTAGGGTTTAGGGTTTAGGGTTTAGGGTTTTGCGGTACAGGCCAGAAGGATAAAACAAGTGTACAGCAAGGTTTCAGGGCCTTAAACAAGAGTCTAGCTGCTGATACATGCGCTCCCCCTGCCCCCATTTAGGGTTTAGGGTTTAGGACGCGAGCTGTCGTTTGGAGACCCGACAGTTTAGATCCGTGGGGTGTAGGGCTGCAAACATGCGAAGTTGTTACCTGCTCGGATGCCCTTTTGACTTCGTGAGTCGGGTTAGTAAGGTGGGTCATAGGGATGATATGAGGGTTTCTAGGGGATACTAAGTAGACTTACTAAGTCAAGTAAGACTTATCAGGCTAGATACGCTATCAGCTTCTGCAAACAACCCTGGAACAATCTACGTCGTCGGGACACGCTAGGTTTAGGGTTTAGGGTTTAGGGTTTAGGGTTTAGGGTTTAGGGTTTAGGGTTTAGGGTTTAGGGTTTAGTAGGTTGAGGGCTCAAGTTGGCAGACTCATGGGCTGCTAGAGCTAAACTGTCGGCAGGCCCTAGCACTAAGACCTAAACCCTAAACCCTAAACCCTAAACCTTAAACCCTAAACCCTAAACCCTAGACCCTAAACCCTAAACCCTAAACCATGAGGGTTAAGGGTTTCAGGTTAGAGGTCTTCGGAGTTTGGGCCCTGTCGGGTGCCATCTCCGGAGGCTTTGGGCGAGAGTGAGTAGTGGGTGTAGGGTTTAGGGTTTAGGGTGTGGGGAAGGAGTGCACAGCATTGAAGGTCCACGACTTAGGGTTTAGGGTTTAGGGTTTGGGGTTTGGGGTTTAGGTTTAGGTTTAGGGTGCAGGGTTTAGGGTTTAGGTTTTGGGGTTTAGGGTCCTTGTAGGGCACAGAAGATCTCTTAAACCAGAAGCATTCGGGTTGTTTTCCACTTCAGAACTCGCAGTCCTTCTCTAGACCTGGCACGTAAACAACAACACGTAAATGTGCGCTTGCAAAGCACACAAGTCCACTCGGCAAGGCCACATTCTCCAAGCTCTGGTTGAAGCGAAACCCGAAGCTCAAGGACTGTAAGCTGCCGGGCAAGACCACATTCTCCAAGCTCTGGTTGAAATTAAATCCAAAGGTCAAGGACTGCAAGCTGCCGGGCAAGACCACACTCTCCAAGCTCTGGTTGAAATCATATCCGAAGCTCAAGGACTGCAAGCTGCCAGGCAATGCCACATTCTCCAAGCTCTGGTTGAAACAGGCTCCGAAACTCAAGGACTGCAAGCTGCCAGGCAAGGCCACATTCTCCAAGCTCTGGTTAAAATCATATCCAAAGGTCAAGGACTGCAAGCTGCAAGGCAAGGCCACATTCTCCAAACTCTGGTCAAAAGACTCTCCGAAGCTCAAGGACTGCAAGTTTCCAGGCAAGGCCACATTCTGCAAGCTCTGGCTGAATCCGTCTCCGAAGCGCAACGTCCGCAAGTTACCAGGCAAGGCCACATTCTCCAAGCTCTGGTTGAATAAGTCCCCGAAGCGCAAGGACTGCACACTGCCAGGCAAGTCCACATTCTGCAAACTCTGGTCGAAACTATCTCCGAAGCTCAGGGACTGCAAGCTGCCAGGCAAGGCCACATTCTCCAAACTCTGGTTGAAATCGTGTCCGAAGCTCAAGGACTGCAAGCTGTCAGGCAAGGCCACATTCTCCAAGCTCTGATTGAAGTCCTCTCCGAAGCTCAAGGACTGCAAGCTGCCAGGCAAGGCCACATTCTGCAAGCTCTGGTGGAAAGAAAATCCGCAGCTCAAGGACTGCAAGTTGCCAGGCAAGGCCACATTCTCCAAGCTCTGGTTGAAGCGAAACCCGAAGATCAAGGACTGTAAGCTGCCGGGCAAGACCACATTCTCCAAGCTCTGGTTGAAATTATATCCAAAGGTCAAGGACTGCAAGCTGCCAGGCAAGACCACATTTTCCAAGCTCTGGTTAAAATCGTGTCCGAAGCTCAGGGACTGCAAGCTGCCAGGCAAGGCCACATTCTCCAAGCTCTGGTTGAAACATGCTCCGAAGCTCAAGGACTGCAAGCTGCCAGGCAAGGCCACATTCTGCAAGCTCTGGTTGAAGCGAGTCCCGAAGCTCAAGGACTGCAACCTGCCAGGCAAGGCCACGTTCTGCAAACTCTGCTTGAAAACATGGCCGAAGCTCAGGGACTGCAATCTGCCTGGCAAGGCCACATTCTCCAAACTCTGGTTGAAATGATATCCAAAGGTCAAGGCCTGCAAGCTGCGAGGCAAGGCCACATTCTCCAAGCTCTGGTCAAAAGAATCTCCGAAGCTCAAGGACTGCAAGCTGCTAGGCAAGTCCACATTCTGCAAACTCTGGTCGAAACTATTTCCGAAGCTCAAGGACTGCAAGTTCTTTGGCAGTTCAACATTCTGGAGACTGCGATCACCGTACAATTGCAACGAAGAGATTGCGTCCTTTGCAAATACGTCCATCACTCTCAGGCGTTGGCCGTCGCAGGCTCGCAGAAATGCAGCTGCTGCATGCTCTGCACCAACCTAGGTTGGCCCCTTAAACCCTCCAAGAAAACTCCCAACATAGGATCCTCTTGCACCCATGAGGAAAAACAAGCAAAAATGATGTTAAACATGGCAAGGGCAACCCTTTGAACCACATACGTGATGACATCGCCCTGAACTTGCTCCAACAACGGCTTGGAATCATCCAGGGTATTGCCGCCTGTCGCCAAGACAAGCATGCCACCAAGCCGCATGCCGATCCTTCCTGCGACGCTCTTGTGCAAACCTTCCACGGTCATGTTGTCTTCAAGAGGAAGCTGCACTTCCGAACCGCCGAGGCCACAGACCGACAACTGTCGGCAGGCAGTAAGGCCATCAACCTCGTCAAGGCTCTTGGCCCGAAAATCTGGTGCGAGGTCGGCCATATTTCGGCCTTGCGCCTTGGCTTGGGTGCCCTTTGTGGGCGAAATGAACCTGTACCTTAACAAGGGTTTTGGTAGTATAGGGCATAGGGAACTTGATTCCACCGTGAGGCTTACCTTGTGCCTAAGGGAGTTTTAGTCTGAACGTTCGCGAATTCAGAGCCATGCCAAGTTACCAAAGGAAGTAGATTTAGGGTTTAGGGTTTAGGGTTTAGGATGACAAACACGCCCCAACAAGAAGTCGAACAGCCCCTGAATTTTGAACACACACCCCAAGATTGCTTGCCCAGCTTTTGAAGCCCTCAACCCTAGCGGGGAGGCGGGCGGGGGGGGGGGGGGGCACACTCAACCCAAGCCCCCCCAAAACCCTAAACTCTGGCGTGAATGAACCCAAGGTTAAACATGTGCTTGCATCCAGTGCCCTTGACCCGAAACCCTAAACCCTAAACCCTATACCCTAAACATTCAACCCCTTCGTTACATGATGATTAGTTTGGTCCCCTGACATGTGGCCAAATGCGCCGACAATTCTTGAGCGGGATCAAACCCTTGGGGACGACATGAACCATAATACCCTGTACTACTCTAATTCCGACTGAGGTAATATGGACCATAAACCCTTTTAGGGCTCAGTTCGTCCCTAAGGACTGTCATGAGCACCCGGAGCTGTGTTATTGACTTACCGGGTCATCTGAACACTTCAACCAAGGATGGCCCTTAAACCCTGAAACCCGCTGACATATATTCCTGAATGTGATCCTCGTAGACGAACATATAAGACGGCCCAAGGGCCTACCTAGTAGCCCTAAACCCTATAAATCCTAAACCCTACACCCTACACCCTAAACCCTAAACCCTAAACCCCGAGACACGGGCTCACATTGTCTCAAGGGACTAAAGGAGGCACTCTTATAAGGGACCCTAGGGGTTGTTCAGGGGTCATTTTGGGGCCTACTGACGTATATAGGGACTATACATGGCATATATAAAAATATACATATACATAGATAACAAAAATATATATAATAATTAGGTTCCAAGGGTGAACCCGGCCCCTGCGTTTTGGCACTTTATATAAATACACAAAACGAACTCACTCGTTTTGATGTGTTCATAGCTGCGGACAGAGACAAGCGCATGCAGGTTTGCGTGCAATGCATATCCAAGGTGATGGCAAGAGATATCAGCTGCAAAGCATATCTTTCAAGCATCTGAAGCGCGAGATATTGTTCGACGAGGCAAGCGATACTGTCAGGCAACTTGGAAAAGACGTACGACATCGCGCACGCGTACTGTGATGAGGTTACCGTGATCAAAAGAGTGTTGGCCGTTCGCTGTGAGCAAGCTGCGGGCCTGATACTCATCTATGAGGAGACGCCATTTTTGGCGATCTGAATGCGACGGTAGGATCCCGGACATTCGCCGACGGATCCAACGCTTAATTACGGACCACTTGCACTCGATGGCGTTTGTAGAGAAGCCATTGGAATTGGTAATCTCTCCCTGACTGTGGTTGACTATCTCATGGCGAACATCCGCTTCGGAGAAATTGTTCGTGTTCTTGTAAGACTTGAATGCCGAGACCGTGGCCTTCCACTTGTCGGAGACAGAGATATCTCCTCGCCTCAATCCCAATGTTTGGATGTTTTTAAGCATCTCCTTGTGGCCACGAGGTTTGCCGTCCAAAGCATCATCAGGATGGTCCAAGATCCTGAAGATGAAATGAGTCTTGATGTGTTCATGTAGCACGGCCCCCCAAAGCCATACTTGATCTCGCTGCGGGCGACCATTGCGAGAGAGAGCATTTCGTTTGCGTTTGTTCAAGTGCGTCTCATCAGCGATGAAGATACGAGCCTTTCCCGCAAACTTGATATGTGTTTTTTCACACTTGGTCGTTTCATAGTAGATGCCGAAGGTCGCTTCAATGTAGTCTGGCTCGAAGATGCTGATGGTCGTTTGAAGGCCTTTGAAGCAGGTTTCTTCGTAACTGCACGGCGAGACCGCTTGGAAGATGCAGTGTTAAGACGTTGGAACAGTGGACCGTCGAACCCCTGGTTGAGTTGTAGTTGGTACCATGCACTCAATGTCTGCTGGAAGGATTGGGTCCAAGCATCAATTCGCTTGTGGTCAGTGGGATGCAACTCGCGAAGAATTTGCTGTCGAGGATATTCATATATCCACATCATGAAACTTTCCAATTTAGGCATCCACATGTGTTGCTTCACGTTCGAGAGGAATCCAATTGAGCTAGCCTCAGGCTGCTGGTCTAGACACTCTAGACAGCCTTGGGTTTCATACCGAGCTCCAATCCAACGATATCGTGAGCTCTTGAAGCGTAGTTGGTAAGGCGTCTGACAACCCGGACAAACACGCTCAGGAGGCACAAGATGCAAAGCCTGTGCTGCGAGCAATGCTCGCGTACCAAAGGTATCCGGGAGGCCACCAGTATCACGAACACGACTGTACTTCACGATGTCAAAGAATTGGGTCCTGTTGAGAAGATCTGCAGACGAAACCGCGGCTCGGAAGGCATTCCAATCTGCATAGCATGCCATTGTGAACAAAGAAATAACTATAATATCTCGAGCCACTTACACAACAACATGGAGAAGTCAGGTGAACATCATGAGCATCGACTGACATGGGTACCATATAGATGCTATACTGATGTACGACAAAGACGGGCTATGCGTAAGACCATATTTTGTGCAAAACTGCTGCGCGCTCGTGCCGGCACTCATACAAGATGCTGGACTGACGTACGACAAAGCCGGGCTATGCGTGAGACCAGGTTTTGTACAAAACTGTCGTGCGCCTACGCCGGTATTCACACACTCACTCGGCAATATCCATGTTGTCGGCCTCGTCCATCATTCGCTCGAGTTCCTGCTCCATATCGTCTGGGACGTGACCAACTTGTGGCATGACATCATCATCGTCTATGTCAGCATCATGAGCAAGAATAGGGGAAGCAGGATTGGACGGCGCTGCTACGCTAACAGCATCGGTGAGTTTGGCACGCTTTGACAACGGCATGTCTGAAGTGGACGAGGATGCGGTGGACTTCTTGGGAGACGGCGAGTCCAGGTCGATGGGATTTGTAACTGCCTGACCTTTGAGGGAACGAAAAGCTGCATCAACCTTTTCCTTCTTGACTTTGACGCGAAGGTCCGGTTCAGGAAGCAGATGTGCATGAACGTCACGTGTAGACCTTACAGATGCGACTACGTTAAAACTGAACGGTTACCCAGCGGTCCTTTATATATGTACTGTGTTGATGTACATAAGTCCCAGCTTGGATTCGGACGCAGCATCACCAAAGAGCCCACGTGGAGTGCGAATGGTACATGAAGTCGGAATTGACTCACCGTGAAGAAGCCGTCGAAGAACTTCTTGGGACCACAGACAATCTTCATGGTAAGAAGGCGGAAGTTGATGCTTGTCGGGGTTCATTTTGTATTGCTTGAAAACCCAGGTTTGTGACGGAGACAACAAATCCTTGGGCGCATTCTCCTCCCAACGGATGAAGTCCACATGATCCTTGCTTGTGTTCGCTACGCGGAAGTACAGGCCATGATCTGTGATGACAATGAGGTGAGTGCGTGCCATAATTGCGTCCATGTCCTCCGGATCTTCAACTGCACAGAAAGATGGCTGGATTAGCTGTAGAAACTTGTCGTAGGGGATCCTCCACAACTTGTTCCTCTGCATACTACCAAACATCTCGTCGTCGATCCTACGGTCATAGGGATTGTTGCAAGCATGTCGTCCAGATCCTTGATCAAATTGTGCAGAAGAGTAGCGTGCCCAGACGGTGGCATCCTCTTCCTGGCAGGAATGAGATGCGTTGCATCGTGCGGGATTGAATTTTGCAGATGAGGTTTGTGTTAGCAGAAGCATGCAAGTATGAATACAGAAGCCAAGACGCAGAGGGGTTCAGGAATGCCTTCAAGAATGAGGAGTCCATGCGCTGGAGCATCCCGTCATCGAATACTCCAGGCTTGTACTTCGTGAGCGGCTCCGATTTGAAGAAATCGAGATGTTTCGCCGTCACAATGGAGGGAATGAGGTCCGTGCGCTCAGCTGCCTCTATCTCATATTTCGATTGCATGAACAGCACAGTTTTGGATCCCAAGGATTTGCCAGTTCGAGTCCGGCCAATCCAAGTTATGGCGTGCTGTCGCATGGTGGGCAGCATCTTCACAAGTACCTTGTCAAAGAACCAAGGGACGAAAGACTTGAAGGTAAAGGGCCAGTACTCCAGTGTCTTGGCGTTTTGACGACCCTTCATGTAGTTGTGAAGAGCCTCTTTTACCTTCCCCTCAGGCCAGCCCTCAATCTTACCACCAGCCAGATGGATCTGCTCATCAGTCCACTCCATAAATTGGTTTCGGTTGTTTGAGCGAGGGCCAAACTCTCTGATGAACTTGTACCCTTCCTCCCGCGCCTGCTGGTCCACAGTGATTTTCTTTTCATACTTGGGCTTGATGACCCAGTGACGGAGTTGCTTCCCACCCATTTTGTCCAACATGTAGTTGAGACCCATCAACGCCAGTCGTGTTTGGGAACCCCAGTCAAATCGGAGAGGATTGCCTTGGCACATTTCCACGCAATCCTTGGCAGGAATCTTGTTGCGGTGGAGGTAGATGTGCTTGAAGATGTGGAAGTAAGTACCATGCGCGTCTCCATCTGGAGGTGGTTGTGTGGATTGGATGATGACCTGCATGGTGTACGGCACAGGAGGCTCCTTGCGTAGACAGAAGGGGCTTGGAAGTTGCGCGTACTTGCCTTCGCAGCAGATCTTGTAAATGTTGTCAAACATGGAGTTCGTCACATCGATAGGATGGTACATGAGGCAGTCTGCGAATTGCTCCAGTTTGGTTGCGGACGAGTCTAGCTGACGAACGGGTAGATCTCCGACAGACACATCTCCCACAACCCTATCCGAGCGCATAGGTCGACTCTCAAGCTGTAACTTATGCCCGTTGACTTGGCCGCACGCCTCGTCAAATGTCAGAGCTCCATCGTGGTCTCCGGCCTCACTACGGAAACTTGCCATGGTTGAGCGCAACTACGGATAGGATGAACGGAACCAAAGGCTTACACAATAGGATGGACGGTGAGATATGCTGTCCATGGAATCTCTCATGCTTTGGAGGCACTGTTGGCAATGATTGTAAGGCAGTATTTTCCACTGACGCATGAAGAAATTATAAAGCCTTAGGCTGTTGTTGTGGTTTTACCACAACAGCGTGTGATGGCGCGAACATCTCAGCTTCGCTCAGACATTTCTCGCCGTACAAGCGGGATAACGTGACATCAATGTGATAGGGCGAACATCTCAGCCTCACTCAGACATTTCTCGCCGTACAAGTGGGACAGGGTGAAGTAGATATCTCGTATGTGCCAGACGGTCAAGCCTCAGAGGTCGCTAATATGAGGGTCGCTAGAAAACATATGCGAAACATAAAACACGACAACGAACATAAAGCGCTCAAGTGACCGTCCGGCAGAGTATCAATGTAAGTCGCCCATTCGGTCGGTGCAGACGGCACATGTTGTAGATGACGATCTTGAGGAGGTTCTTACATTTCACACAAAGAGAAACACACATATATATATATATGTATATTAAAAGAAAACGACATACCATAGCAGAGCACTACCGAAGCCAAATCTTTTATCATGCTAAGGGTCCCACAAGATAGTCTCGAATGATTTTCTGGATGTCTAGTGGCAGCTCGCGTCGCGACATAGCACTAGAGACACTAACGTGTGCAGGTTGACCTTTGATAGCAAACAGCTTCATGAATCATACGCTGCTCCATACGAAAAACAACAAAACCAAAAAAAAACCGAAAAAAAAAAAACAAACAAACCAAAAAAAACCAAAACCAAAAAACCAAAAAAAACCAAAACCAAAAAAACCAAAAAAAACCAAAACCAAAAAAAACAAAAAAACCAAAACCAAAAAAACCAAAAAAAACCAAACAAAACATTTCCTAGGAACTCTTACAGGGAGACTTCCTGAATAATGTTTTTTTTGGGTTTTTTTGGTTTTGTTTTTTTTTGGTTTTTTTGGTTTTGGTTTTTTTGGTTTTTTTGGTTTTGGTTTTTTTGGTTTTTTTGGTTTTGGTTTCTTGGGTATTTTTGTGGACAGCACCACAACACTGAAATAGCAAACAAACCCTTCGCCCCTGGAGCGTGTCGACATGCACGATGGACGCGACGTCGCGTACCTCATGCAGAATAAAAGTGCCAAAACGCAGGGGCCGGGTTCACCCCTGGAGCCCTAATTAATATATATATATATATATATATATATCTGTATTTCGTATATAGTATATAGTATATAGTATATAGTACATGTATATGTATATGTACATGTATATGTATGTGTATATATGGTACTCCCCCCCCCCCCCCCGGCCCCCAAAGCTCCATATGTTCTAGTGTTTTGGGCACTCCACGAACCCAATCCACTAGAATAGATGAGTCTTTGGGAGGGGGGCTTGAAGATGCTATTATAGAAAACTTGGCCAGAGCATCCGAAATTTTAACTCTTTAACTCCAGGGCCAATGAAGCTCTCGGCCCTTGGATTGAAGATTGAAGATGCGGGGAACTCTCCCCGCAGCATCTTCAATTCCAGACCAGTGCTGATTAAGCACTCGACCTGCTTCATCGGCAGGGTCTGGGATTGAAGATTGAAGATTGAAGATGCCCAGGAACTTTTCGGGGCATCTTCAATCTTAAATCTTCAATCTTGGGCCGATTAAGCATCAAGTGCTTATTCTCGGCAGGTGCCCAGGATTGAGGATGCTCCGGGGGAGTTCCTCGGCATCTCAGACCCCTGCCGATTTAGCAGGTCGAGTGCTGAATCGGCTGGGGTCTGGGATTCCAGGCTGTTCCCTTTTTTGCTTAAAGGGGTTTATAAGGGAGCCTAAACCCCCCCAAAAAGGGACTAAGGGTACTACTGGGCATCCTAGGATTGAGAGAGGGATCCCGAAGTCTTCTTCCCTAGACTTCCCTGAAGCTCATTCCCCAAATCCTCTTGCGTAACCCATGCACAGAGGCGGTTGGTCCTAAAATTTCCTAAAGAAAAAGAGACCCTAAATCTTGAAAACAAGAACCCTATTCCCTAAACCCTAAACCCTAGACTCTACACCCCATTCCCTAAACCCTAAACCCTAAACCCCAAACCCTAAACCCTAAACGTTCAACCTTCAAGAGCAGGATCCCTGAATCGAAGTCCTTTTCCCTGAGCCCTTCGCCCCAAAGAGGGCTGTCTTCTTAATAAATCCTAAGGAGGAGGGACCCTAGGAGAGCCTTCTCAAATCCTAAGCCCTAAACCCTAAATCCTAAACCCTAAATCCTAATCCCTAAACCCTAAACCCTAAATCCTAAATCCGAAAAACTATCACCTTGATTTGCTCCCTACATCCTCTTCCCTAAGCCGTTCGTTTAGGATTTAGCGAATAAGAGTTAGGCCCCGATGCTGGCAACACTGAGACGAGTCCAAGAATGAACATGGAAATTGCTTAACGACCCTAAACCCTAAACCCTAAACCCCACACCCCAAATCCCACTCCAGGCTCTAAATCTTCTTGCTCCCTAAAGCCTCTTCCCAAATGCTCTGCGACTAGGACTTAGCGAATCAGATTCAAACCCCTTGGGTGGGTGGGGGGGGGGGGGGGGGTACTAAAAACTCCACTTGAGGATTTAGGGATCATGTTCATGAAAATGTAGAGAATAGGATTGAGGGACTTAGATCTGGGATAACCCCACTTCAAGCTTGGCCCCAAACCCCAAACCCCAAACCCCAAACCCCAAACCCCAAACCCCAAACCCCAAACCCCAAACCCCAAATTTAGGGAACATCCGTCGATTAAACAGATTTCACTACATCCTAAAGAGCGGGATCCCCTGTTACAGTAGTTTAGGATAGAGCGGATAATAAGATACCCTAAACCCTAAACCCTAAACCCAAGATCTAAGCCTTGGGGGGCACGCTAGGTAGGTCTTCGGGGTTTGGTCCATGTCGAGCGCCATCTCGGGAGGCTTTGGGCGAGAGTGAGTTTAGGGTTTAGGGTTTAGGGTTTAGGGTTTAGGGTTTAGGGTTTAGGGTTTAGGGTCTAGGGTCTAGGGTTTAGGGTTTAGGGTTTAGGGTTTAGGGTTTAGGGTTTAGGGTTTAGGGTCTAGGAGTGCACAGCATTGAAGGTCTACGATTTAGGGTGCACGGTGTAGGGTCCAGAAAATCTCTTAAACCGAAAGCCTTCGGGTTGCTTTCCACTTCAAAACTCGCTGTCCTTCTCTACGTCTGGCATGTACACAACGACACGTACACCTGCGCATCCGAAGCACACAAGTCCACTCGGCAAGACCAAAGATTGCAAACTCTGGTTGAAGCTGGGGCCAAAGGTCAAGGATTGCAAGCTGCCAGGCAAGGCCACATTCTCCAAGCTCTGGTTGAAGCAAAACCCGAAGCTCAAGGACTGTAAGCTGCCAGGCAAAACCACATTCTCCAAACTCTGGTCGAAACTATCTCCGAAGGTTAAGAACTGCAGGCTGCCAGGCAAGGCCACATTCTGCAAACTCTGGTCGAAACTATCTCCGAAGGTTAAGGACTGCAAGCTGCCAGGCAAGGCCACATTCTCCAAACTCTGATTGAAAGAATGTCCGAAGCTCAAGGACTGCAAGCTGCCAGGCAAGGCCACATTCTGCAAACTCTGGTCAAAACTATCTCCGAATCTCAGCGACTGCAACCTGCCAGGCCAGGCAACATTCTGCAAACTCTGGTCGAAACTGTCTCCGAAGCTCAAGGACTGCAAACTGCCAGGCAAGGCCACATTCTGCAAACTCTGGTCGAAACTATCTCCGAAGCTCAGGGACTGCAACCAGCCAGGCAAGGCAACATTCTGCAAACTCCGGTCGAAACTGTCTCCGAAAATGAAGGACTGCAAGCTGCCAGGCCAGACCACATTCTCAAAACTATGGTTGAATCTGTCTCCGAAGCTCAAGGACTGCAAGCTGCCAGGCAATGCCACATTCTCCAAGCTCTGGTTGAACGAATGACCGAAGTTCAAGGACTGCAGGCTGTCAGGCAAGGCAACATTCTCCAAGCTATGGTTGAACTCTTCTCCTAAGCTCAGGGACTGCAACCTGCTAGGCAAGGCCACGTTCTCCAAACTCTGGTTGAAATTAAATCCGAAGGTCAAGGACTGCAAGCTGCCAGGCAAGGCCACATTCTCCAAACTCTGGTCAAAAGAAACTCCGAGGCTCAAGAACTGCAAGCTGCGAGGCAAAATCACATTCTCCAAACCCTGGTTGAAAAAGTCTCCGAAGCTCAAGGACTGCAAGCTGCCCGGCAAGGCCACATTCTCCAAGCTATGGTTGAACTGTTCTCCGAAGCTCAAGGACTGCAAGCTGCCGGGCAAGGCTACGTTCTCCAAGCTCTGGTTGAAACGATTCCCGAAGCTCAACGACTGCAAGCTGTCAGGCAAGCTCACATTCTCCAAACTCTGGTTGAAAGAATATCCGAAGCTCAAGGACTGCAAGCTGCCAGGCAAGGCCACATTCTCCAAACTCTGGTTGAAAAAGTGACCGAAGCTCAGGGACTGCAAGCTTCCAGGCAAGGCCGCATTCTGCATTCTCTTGTTGAAACTATCTCCGAAGCTCAGGGACTGCAAGCTGCCAGGCAAGGCCACATTCTCCAAGCTATGGTTGAACTTTTCTCCGAAGCTCAAGGACTGCAAGCTGTCGGGCAAGGCTACGTTCTCCAAGCTCTGCTTGAAAAAACAACCGAAGCTGAGGGACTGCAAGCAGCCAGGCAAGGCCACGTTCTCCAAGCTCTGGTTGAAACTCTGTCCGAAGCTCAAGGCCTGCAAGTTCTTGGGCAGTTCAACATTGTCGAGACTGCGCCCGCCGAAAAATTCCAACGAAGAGATTGCGTCCTTTGCATGTACGTCCATCACTCTCAGGCGTCGGCCGTCGCAGGCTCGCAGAAATGCAGCTGCTGCGTGCCCTGCACCTACCTAGGTTGGCCCCTTAAACCCTCCAAC